CTCAGAGACACAGGAGGTAACCCCAGCCTTTCCCTCACCTGGGTTCTTGGCTCCTCCCTGTGAGAAGTGAGTGGTTTCACTGATGGGTGAGATGGGCAAAGCCTGTCGTCTACTATCATGCGTCTCTTCAGGGCAGGGCTCATGCCAACAGGGGCACCCCCTCTGCGTGTGTGACCTTCCAGGGAGCCCCTAAGCTTGCTGACTGGTAAAAGCTGAGGCAAGCCATGACCCCTCAAGCAATTCCTGTCTATGCATCCCAAGTTCAAGACTTGGTAGAGGCATCAAGAAGCCCATTTGGCTTTAAGCTCGTGCGAGCTTCTTAAGTCTAGTGACAAAACCCAAATTTTGATTCTTGCATGACCCCTGGGTGTATTCCATTCACCAGCTGGTTTGGAATTACCCCAGTACAGTGCAGATTGGTACAGTGAAGACCGGATACCTGAGTGCAGCTGAAGGAGAAGAGAGGGGAGAGAACTCTGGGAAACCCTGGGCCGGAGCAGCACTTCTCTGGAAGGGAGCTAATGGTCCCACTGCTTGCAGATGAGACGGAGGCAAACCATGCCAAGACAACGAGTAGTCTTTCTGCCTCCAGGGCCCCGGGCAGGGAACTAAGGGGCCACTCCACATCTCATTTCCAGCCACTGGGTGCCACTGCCCTGGACCAGTGTTCCCCCACAGAATGACATTATTCCAGGCTCCCTGGGGGCCTCAGCATTTTTCCACCTCCTCCACCAGGAAGCACATGTTTATGCCCAAAGAACTCCTTTTAAACCAATTACTGTGTATTTACAGTGAGCATAATTATCCCTCATTACTTAATTAGCATGACTGCACGCAGCTACCGAGTTGGAGCACCCAGCGATGGCAGAAAGCACAGAGCAGCAGAGGCCACGATGCCCAGGGGGAAGGCAGGTCATCCTGGCTCAGGGCGACGGACACGAGGCAGGGCCTTTGCACCAGCTGCTCACAGCTCCAATGTGCATGCTCAGAATGTGCAGCCTTTGCAGATAACTGGGGGGACATGACATCATTTGATTGTTTTTTTCTGCCTGGGACAGAGGGAAGAAATGACAAAAGGCCTTGTGCAGATCACACCTTGGTCTGGGGTCTCGGGAGCCAGCCTCAGCAGAAGTTAAGGTCTGGGCCCTGAGACCCTCAGGACGAGCTCAAGCACGTGGGCTCACGACTCGCAGGCTTGCTCCCCAAGACACCCCCTTCGGCATCACTGCTCTCTCTCTATAGAAAGGAACCTGGTGACGTGCCTAAACAACCCCTCCCTCCTCAGCCTCTCCAAGTCTAGCATCCCAGGACTCCCAGGGGTCTGCTGCTACTCTAATTGGATCTAAAAACAGGACTGAAGAAAAACCCGAGGGGAACAATCCGAATTTATGTTCATTAAAAACGTTGTGTGAAAGACTGCCCAGCAAGCAGGGCGTGGAAACACCCAACCAGTGAAAAGGGGTAAGGGAAAACACCCCTGTCACCTTCACCAAGATGCGACCCACAGTTCCCCAGACGGGGACCCGCCCAGGTCCGAGCAGCAGGATGAAGGAGGGGCGCATCCGAGGTACCCACCCTAAATTGGCCCCACGCTCGTGTCCCATGCAGCCCAGCCTGCCTCCCAAGCCCACCACGCGGAGCAAGCAGCCAGCCTCCTCTCTTCCACTGGAGGAAAACACAGCGGGCTTGTCCTGTACTAGAAGCAGCAGGGGGGCCGCTGTCTCCCAGGCGAGGGGCCCGTTTTCTGTATGTCCATTAGGCGGCACTGGGTGGCTGGGAGTAAGCTCCCATCATCACCCCGCGCTCGGCGGTGTTGGTGGGCTAGAAGATGACAGAATCCGTATCACGTGCTGTATCTGTTGTGCCAATGCACCGTTACTACCGAGCTGTACACAGAGGCTCTACGCTCACAGGACAGCTGGGAGACCGGCCAGAGCAGCGGTTCTCCCAGAAAAGGCGCCCTCTGTGGCCAGCTGTCCCGGAAGAGGAGGAGACAAGCCACTCACTCCCTTCTGATGGAGGAGTCATGGGTCTTGGCCAAAGGGATAACGTCCACAGACCAAGCAACGCCAGCTCTGGTGACCCCGGTGGAAGTCCCTGCCTTGTGAGCCAGTACGCTGGGGGGATGCCTCCCGCAGATGCCGCAGGGAGAGAGGGAACCCAGGCCCTTCCGACAACTGCAATGCAACCGAAGAGGGTAAGGCGGGGGGCGGGGGCTCTCCACTCTGTCCCTGGGCCCACACCATAGGGCCTGGCCCTGAACAAGGGCTCCATGAAGGCGTGTTGCCTGACTGAGAAGTGAAGGAGAAAGGGGGCTGGACGGAGCCAACATGGACGGGGTCCTGACCACCTCGTGAAAGCGAGGGGCTGTGGGGAAGATGCCCAGGCAGAGCCTCCAGGTCAGCCGAGGAGGGCCAGGGGCAGACCTCAGGAACGTGTGGACAGGTACGCAGCTGGGAGGGGCGGAGGCTGAATGCACACCTGTGGTTAGGAGTGCGGAGCCTCATGGGGAAGATGGATCGGTGTGGGAGGCCTGGAGGCCTGGAGGTTAGGGCTGCCTGAAGGCATTAGCAAGGCCTTAGGGACTCCAAAGAGATGCCTGGAAGGACGAGGGCCAGCGGGGGGTCCAGGGAGATTGGGTCGGCACCAGGGAGAAGCAGGGGGGTGGGGATGAGCTGCGAGGGCACGAGCAGACTGGTCAGTGAATCAAAGAGCCAGTTTGTAGTGAGCGTGGCGATGGGGTTCTGACCCAAGACAAGTTAGAAGTGAAGTGTGCACACTTGCCTGGCGCTGGGTGCTGGTGTCAGAGAACACCCAGTCCCACCACGGTCCCCAGGGCTCCCACTGCCTCCCGGGGCCCAGAGGGAACTTGGAAACGCTTCACCCATGTGCCAGATCCACCCCCTCCGGCAGCTGTGTGGAGAGCCGCCGGGTGCCAGGGACTCACATGGGCACAGACGGACCCAGAGCCCGCGGTGCTCGCTGAAGGACATGCAGCCCACCCTCGACGCCCCTGGAGCCCGCACGCACGGATTTACCCACTCGCTCAGGGTTATCTGCAACCCCAGCACTCGTAAAGGTGGCACCGCTCACAAACAGGCCAGGCAGGGGCAGCCAAAACTCCAACTGCCCACCAGGTGCGTTCTCAGCGGAGACTTCTTGTGTTGACTTTCACACTGAGAACGAGCCACCTCGCTGTGGTCCACTTAATGCCACCTTTTGTGTGCGTATCTGTGCTTTCTGTGAGCGGTTTCTGTTTGAAGTGGCCCCCAAGCGCAGTGCTGCAGTGTGGCTGACGTTCCTGAGAACAGGAAGCCACCCTGCCTTGTGGAGAAAGTGGGTGTGTTCGGTAAGGTGTGTGTGTCAACTAAGCTTCCTTCGGGCACAGGTCACAGCGCTGCTGCCCCTGAGGGCAGCGTTACAGAGTCGACAATACCTGGTCAATGCGGTGTCCCTGAACAGAAGCAGGCTGAGAACAGGCCAAGCCCTTATTGGTCAGCTGCTAAGAATGCTGTGAGCGGAGGCTGGCAGGAACCCAACCCTGTACTTCCCCGAAAAGCAATGGCTCCGGTCCCCTCACCCAGTGCTCACGGCGACGTCATAGAACATAACTACCGTGAAGAATGAGAGTCGATCGCACACTCGACACAGCAATGCCCAAGCCCCTGCTCACACGTGGACATCGCTCTGGAAAGCGGCCTGCGCTAGGGCACCCGGAGGCTCTCCTCCGTCCCACCCAGGCAGCCCAGGGCAAGCCTGACCCCAGGCAAGTGCACTTTAGCCAGAGTGAACCCATTCTCTGCGCTGCACTCCCCCATCTGTATTGGAAACCCGGGGGTCCTTCTGCACCCGCCTGGGACATAGCAGGGGCCTCCGACAGGCCCTGACCCAGACTCTGGGCAGTCCCCTACTTTTGAGAAGCAGTAAGGGACCCACTCTGCTGTAAGACGGACCGTGGGAGCAGCGGCAGGTCCGTGAGCTACGAAGAGTGCAGCCCAAGCACAGAGAGCTCAGCTGGCAAGAGCAAGACCGGATGTCCTCCTACCTAGGCCGGCGGAGGTCCAGCGAGAGATGGAGAGAGCCAGCTGGCAGAAGCCTGGGGACAGAGTGGGGAACCCCTGGCCATGCAGGACCTCAGCTTCCCTGCCCTATAACAACGCGTCCTGGTCCTAGCTCATCTCTCTGTCTCTCCTGCTCTAAGGCCTCTGTGCTCCCATCAGAAGCAGCCAACACCTGGGGGGCGGGGCCGGAGAGTGGGAGGGTAGGGGCTGCGCTGAGCTCTAGCTGGGCCTAGACTGAATCAGGGCACACAGCAAGGGGACCCCCTGCTGGTTGGAGGGCCAAGCCCCAGGGGACCCTAGATCCGGGAGAGGCCCCAGCAGAGCTCAGCAGAAATACAGAGAGGGGCTGGAAATAATGGGAGGGCAGATGAGGATGAAACCTGTGCCTGGAGCCCTCTGACCTGAGTGAGGTGCTGCGGTAGGGAGGTTCAGGGTCCTGGCACTGCGGTCAGGGTCATGTTCTCAGCAAGTGCGCGCTTTCGGGCACTGGAGGGGCACTACAGAGATGTCCCCCAACCCCCCCGAGTGGGACCGACCACCGTCCCCTCCCTGCCCCTCTCCTGGAGGCTTGGGTGCAGGGTCTGATGCCCTCAGGGGCTGCTGTCAGGACAGAGGCAGGCTGTACTTCCTAAACTCACAGGCCGAGTCTGCACCAGGACCAGCTCTGCATATGCCCCGCCTCAGGGGGAGCGCCTTTCCACGGGGCGGGGCTCCTGCCTCCAGGTTGCTCATGGGACTCTGCCCACCCCCACGCCCTGCGCGGTGGATCCTCTCGCCCAGGCTAGCCTTCAAGTTTTAAGACAAACAGGGAAGGACTCTTGGAGAGCAGGAGGTTAGCAGGTCGTAGGTCACCCCAGAAGGTTCCCGAACCCCAGCTATAGGGCCTATTGCCACACCCCCTCCCCCCGAGAAGGGGCAACGCTCCACTCTAGTACTCACACGTGTCTGGGTTGTGGCAGTTGTGTCCCTGGCGGAAGTACTGGGGGTTCTCGATGACCGGGATGCGCGTCATGCCGATGACCACGGTGTCGGGCCCGGCGTCCAGCGACGAGGGCGTGGTGATGCCGTGGTTGATGTGGTGCAGCGGGCTGGCTGAGTCCTCTTCACCGCTGATGACAGCCACAGGACCTGCGCACAGGAGGAGAGACAGGGCCCGGTGAGGCCACATCCGCCAGCGCCCGCTATGCTCCCACCGCATTTCCCACAGCAGCAAAGTCCACCCGAAGACGATCCCCGAGGGCCTGGGCTCTGCATTCAGAGGCACAAACTCTGCTTCTCCTTCAGGGAAGAAAAACACCTGCCATATCACCCCATAGGAACAAAGAGCGGACTGACAGGAGGACTGTGAGATCAGTTATTTTCACTTTCCCCAAATCCAAATTAGTTCACATTAGAAAAGTTTTAAATACGTTTCCCTGCCTATATAGCAACAACAGGGTTTAAAAATTAAAAAGTCAAAAAGACCCAGCAGGAGTTTGCACGCTGTCCCCTCAGGGACTTTAAAAACTGCCAAGGCCGAGTGCCCTCTGCCCCGCCACCCCCTCACCAAAGATTCTGATTCCACGGGTCTTGGGCTGCAACCTGGGCGTCTGGATTCGAGGACTTCCATGTGAGACCTGAGGTCTGCAACCCCCGACTGGGGCCTCGGAGGCCGAGAGCCCAGCGGCCATCTGATGTTTACAGGCGTGAGACAAAAGTTTCATTGGGCTCTGCCATCACTGTCCCAGCACATCGGGGGTAAGCCCCTGTGGGCCCGAGTCTAGCTCGAGCTGGCTCTCGAGAGTGGCAGTAATTCGGCTGCCTCATGATTAGCCCGCAGGCACCTGGGCCGGCTGTCCCACTCCTGAAAGATCCAGACCACCAGAAGCTTCAAAGAACATCGCCTGCACCTTTACGAACCTCACCACCGCCACTTTCTGACCCAGAGAAGAAACCCAGTAAATACAGTTATTTACAAACACTGTGACAAGGATATTTAACGGTGGGGTCTAGGCCGAGCCGTGATTCTGTGTGGTGGTCCAGTCCCCCCAAAGACACAGATAAAAGTCCTACAAAGTCAAGAGCTGTCACTGTGTGTGGCTTCGCGCAACTGGCGTTTTACACGGCTGCTTTGTGAGACACATGGCCCCCAGACAAACTGCCCGGTGTGACCTGGTTTTGCGGCTTGAACGATATTCCCACTGCCGAAATCTACTGCATGGTGCTGAATTTGATGAGAGGGATACTTCTCATCAAATAGCGATGTGGAGCCTCCAGGAGGCGGAACTAAACAGAAGGCTGGCGTGTGCAAACCGAAGCCCCGGGATTCCGTTCCATCAGCACGGACAGACTTACGCCAGTCCCTGACCCACGGCTCACTGTCGAAAGGCAGCAACGAGAACTGGCCCAAATACTCAAGGTCATCACGCGCCTTGCGGAAAGAGGCCTGCTCCTAAAATACCTTCCTTGCCAAGTTTCTGAAAAACTTCCTAGGGATTTCCCGTTGAACACAGAAGGCTGAGTGCCGGTCTCTGCCCTCCTCCTCTCCGCACATGCCTCTGAAGCATGAAGAGATACCTGTGCCCGAGCAGAAGGAAGAGGGAAAATGAGGGGAACCTGGTATCTCAACAGCATTTGGAAGGTGAGAGACCGAAGGAGAAAGCTCGCTCTCGAGAGGAGGAAGCTGGTGGAGACAGGCGGGCGGGACTGAAGGGACAGAGCCCACAGGAAGGCATGTCTGCTGGGGGCGCCCAGTGCGAGAAGGGCCAGGGGGCCCAGGAAGGCTGGGCTGGGGGTCAGGGCTGGAAGAAGGCATCGCCATGCCCCTACCCCACCAGAGCTACTGGTTTGTTCCCAGAGAAACTGAACTGGGAAGGCTCAGAGAATGGCTGGGGTGAAGGGAGAAGCTTGGACCCCCTCCTCCCTGCTCCAAGAACAGAAACCATGAATAACACTGCCTACCCATCCGCCCCACCCCCAGTCTCCTCTGACACCGCCCCCTGCAGGAGACTAGAGCACACTGCACTGGAGAAACTGAGACAGACAGCTACATGCTGGTCCCGGGGGGCCCTCCCAGTGAGGTCAGGCTCACTCTGACAAGGGGCCTTGGTGCAGCCTAAGAGCTGACAACCCCGCCCCTGTGCCCAAAGCACGATCTCACTAGCTTTCTAGCGCTCGTTTCCTCATCTGAAGAAACGGTCCTGGACCACTGAACGATCCAGCAAAGCGTGGGCACGACCGGAACCTGGAGGCATGGGGGTGACAGAGGCAGCAGCAGACTGCTCACATGATCACCAGTGTCTTCGGGGAGGTGAAAGAAGGCACCACCCCCAGGGAACAAGGTGGCACTTGAAACTCCAACAGTTAAAGGGTAAGAAAAATCCTTGGGAAGCAAGATCATCAAACCTCGACAGCCAAAGCCGAGTGGGAGAAAAAGGCAAGGGTGTGTTCCAGAAAGTCAAACAAAAAGGAAAGAGATGGTAAATAGGGCAGAAAAGAAATGGAAAGACTCTATCATCTGATGAAAAGGAGAAAGAGGGAGAAAGAGAGAAGAGAAAAGAAGGAAAAAAGAAAAAACAACTATTAAAACTTTGAGTGTGGGGCCTGAGTGAGTCAGTTCACTAGACTTCCCCAGGTGGGCTACAGACCATTCACTGTCTCCTCCTCTGACCAGCGCTGACCCCTCTACCCAACTAAACACGCCTCAGAAAGACCACTTCCCGTCAGCCCGCCCGCTGCCGCTCGAGGCCCTCACACTCGCCTCTGCTCTTCCACAAACCACGGGCCTTCCCGGGAAAGCCAACACAGCGCACACAGCCCCATCACCTCAAAGGCTGTGAGAGAAGGCCAGCAGGGCTCCCCCACAGGGCTGTGCTGGGTATGGCAGGATATTTAGCATGAAAATCCACTCTCGGGTTCATGGGCCGTAATACTCTCTGGTGGGGACAGTGGTGATGGAGGGTGCTGTCTGTGTGTCGTCAGGGCAGCGGGAACATGGGGACTCTCTGTATTTTCCACTCAATTTTGCTGGGACTCTAAAACCGCTCTAAAAAAATAAAGCCTAATAAAAAAATGTAAAGGACAGAGTCGCCCCAGGCTGAGAGCCACGGGTTCTCTGACCAGCCTCCACCCCCGGGGCCAGTTCCCAGCTCCCGCCAGGCCACCGTCAACCGCCTCGGGGAAAGGAAACCCAAAGACCTGCAGCCCCCCTGGAGAGGAGGCGGCTCACTCGCAACCACAGAGAAGAACGCACTTAGATAAGAAGGGACAGTAATAAAGGGAAGGCTCCCAGTTGGCTGGGACTTCTGCTTTCCGGAGCTGCCGAGGTCTAAGGCAGGTCGGCGGGAGGAGTCGGGACTGTGGTCCTCCAGCCTGGTGCCTGTGGTGCACTGCCCCCCCCCCGCCCCCGCCACTGTCACCGATTGGTTCCTAATTGCACACTTATACAGCACTAATAAACAAAGGAAAGAGAAACGGCCTTACAGCCTTTCTGGTGAGTCCCTGCTTCTGAGAGACCCTGAGGGCAGGCCTGTCCGCTCTGACACCGCACAGGACTCTCTGCCCAGACTGGTGCCTTTCCTTCCCTCTCTGCAGCCTGGGTGGGCTTTGCTCTTCGAGCCAGACCACAGTGAAACCATTAAACAACTAGAGGGAGCACGATGACCCCCGACAGGTGTGCTGCCCCGCAGGATGCTCCAAGCTGTCTTTCTGGAATCTTTCTCTTGCCCTCCCTGCTCCTCCTGTGGGAAAATATAAGGGGGCAGTGGTAGGAACTGCTCGGATTTTCATGAGTCCCACTGCGGGACTCAGTATCCCCCAGAAAGCAAAGGCCTCCAATGAGACCACGAGAAGGAATCTCACGCAGCAGCGGTGGGCAGAGTCCCCACTGCGAAGGAGCCAGGGGCCACAGGCTCCCATGGGGGCGGTGGGGACATGGCAGGGTCCTCTGGTGACACGGGGTCCCCTGCAAAAGATGAGGAGCCAAGGGGCGCCCCTCACGGAACGAAGGTGGACAAAGCAGCAGCCTCGCTGGGATGCGTGGGCACATCAACGCTCCCTGCCCCTTCAGGTCTCGGGGCGGGGGGAGGGCGCTCCTTGGGACCATTCCATTGTCCCACCTCATCACTAAAACCCCCTTGGGTTCCGCCAGCTCCCTAACTTACAAAACATCAACACTTCTCAGAAACCTGGGCCCCGGAACATCCTGCCACTGATTCGGCCAATTTGCGGAAGCGGCTGCTCGCCAACTCCCCACAGGTGGCTCGCATTCTTAAGGATGCGATGATTACAAAAAAGCAGGGGGAGGACAAATAAACTATAATTTATTAAATATCTACTACACTCCAGGTATGTTGCTAGGCATTTTGATCTCATCAGATCCTTGAAAAATACTGTTATGCCCATTCCGTCAACTCAAAAACTGATCCTCAAGAAAGCTTAGTTTTCTATAAGTCATTCAGCCAGGAAATGATGCAGCCGGGATTCAACCCTGCGTGCGTCTCTGAAGTTCTTCTTCTCACAAACCAGCCTCTTTCCCAACAGCGTGGCTGACACCTGGCATTTTTAATAAATAGCTAGGATTTAGTGCGAACACACGAGCCCGTAAAACAAGCCAAGACCTCTGAACCAAGGCCTCTAGGACCAGATCATCATGTATTTTCAAGGCTGGACCAAACCACATAAGGTGATGTTAGGCAACTATGGCCAACGTTTACTGCTAGATTGTAAAACCTCGGGGCCAAAACCCATCTCTTTCTACATTCCTTCATTTAGCCCTGAACTTCCTTCCAAAGGCAGGGCTTTCACCTCAGCCAGCGGTTCAGAAGATACTCCTGGGCGCGGTGGCCGTCCATCACAACCGCGGTTCACCAGGCACCTGCAGGGGCTGCCATTTCCGCCCCCCAGGCACCAGGCACCGGTTCCCCCATCACTGTCTCTGGCCAAGGAGAAGCAAGCAGAAGCAGCACGCGTCCCTTCCACGTGGAGCTGTAAGACCCAGTGCATCACCACCACCTCACACCTGTCCGAATGACTAGCATCAGGAAAACCAACTAACAAGTGTTGGTGAGGATGTGTAAAAAGGGGTGCCCCTGGGCACTGTTGCTGGGAGTGTAAGCTGGTGCAGCCACCAGGTAAAAACAGCATGGAGG